GGGGGGGGGGGGGGGGGGTCAAATACAGTGAAGAAGAGAGAGAAGCGTTTTTCTCTGAAACAAAGACCTCCCTATCTTTTCATCCCCATGGCCTCCTCATACATCCACAGAAACAAGGGTTCTATTCATCTTATTTATGATCTCCTACTATAGGACTTATGAACGCCATCACTTCTTTCTGTACACTTTTGTTTTCCCCCCCATTTTCATTTTTCAGTTTTCACCACATCCTCCCCCTTCTTCTCTCTATTTATAAACACACATCACCCCAATATTAAAATTCTGTCATAATTTATATTTTTCTGTGGAGCATACAAGGAGAATTTTCACACTTCTCTTTTCCCACACAGTTCTTTTGTCAAGCTTCATGTCTGTCAAGCTCCAAAAGGACAAAAATGCTCTATAAAATTAGTCTATATGACTTGTACATGATATAATTATTCATACAATAACTTTGTGATAAATGGACCTGAAATGTAAGTTATTCACTGATAATCTTACACAACCACTGTGTTTGAGAATCTTTGAACTCTAGCAACAGTTACTGAGTTAAGTGCTCACTTAAAAGGCAGATTATTAATGAATAATGGCTTAAATTTCAATCTGTACCACACAAAAAGATACCATATGGCTTCAGAAGACTTGGAATATAGCACACAAATCATACGGACCACATTTATGTTACTTTTACTGTGTTTTTGGTCATTTTTGGAGCTTGATTTTGGAGCTTGGTTCATGTGGTTACTTTGAACTTACTATGAGCTGCATAATGATTCTTCATAAAATTTTTCATATAAAAAACAACAACTAGGGTACACTAAACCTTTTAAATCTTTCTCATGCTATTACTCGGTACTCGTCTCAGCACTTCTCTCTCTCTCTCCTTGACTTCTTAAAGGGCTTCCAAAATAGCATGCTTAAATTGAGCTGACTTGATTTGTTTTTATTTAAAGAGGATCAATTACTGAGATCTAGTCATGCAGAAGTTGTTCAACCATGAATAACAACCATGCACTTTAACACACACCCAAATCAAACCACACAGGAACTATCACAAAAGCACATATGAAGGACTCATTTTTCAATTCCTTTCTTGCTCATTATTTTTCACCCTCATTCTTTTTCTCCCACTTTCTCTCTTCTCTTTCTCCCTTGCATGCACACTTGTTTATTTCA